CTCAGGAGACTCCAGTAGACTATGATAAATGACATTTAAGGGGGGCAGCAAGGTGGCGCAGTGGATAGAGCACCAGCCCTGGATTCAGGAGGACCTGAGTTCAAATCCAACCTCAGACACATAACACTTACTAGCTGTGTGACCCTGGGCAAGTCACTTAACCCCATTGCCTAGCCAAAATAAAAAATTACATTTAAGGGGCAAAAGACAACTCTTTAAATTGTTTTTATCAACACCTGTTGTTATTGTTGTTTTACCACAGATCTGTTTCCAAACATATCCCTCCCTCCCACCCAGCTAGTTTTTTCTTGTAAGAAAGACTAAAAAAGAAGAAGAAAAACAGCATTCAGTGAAAGCCAGCTACTATGCCACCTGTGCTTGAAAGAGGGCTCTATGCCTCGTGGAGCGCCCTTAATCCCCCACCTCAGCCATGAAGGGAGGGGCTGCTGGCTTCTTCAATGCTCTTGTTTTCTTTTCTGAGGAAAATGATCTTTGGACTGGAAAGGACAGAACAAAAAATAGCTATTAGGGAGTTGAGACTCAAGATAAGGAAGGAGATAGGCAGAGAGCACCTGCTTCCCTTAACATGTTTAAGTCACCAGGCCCCAATTGTTGAACCACTGTCAGTGACCTTTGAAAGACTGGAAAATGGAAGAGGTACCACAGGTCTGGAGAGGGGATGAAATGGCCCTATTTTCAGAACAAGTGAAGGGAATAAATAGAGTTTGCAAATATAGGCTAGTAAGTTTGACCTCAATTCTTGTCAATATTCTAGAGTGTATTATTAGAGGGATGGTTGTTAGCATTCCAGAAGGGAAGCAGTTATCAATAAGGGATATCATGGCTCCATCAGGGACAGGCCGTGCCAGCCTAACCTCCTTTCCTTTGTTGACAGGATTACTAGACTGGTAAGTCAGAGTTTCTGGGGCTAAGGATGTGACCATCCTTCTGTTTTTTGCCTTGGCTAGACCAAGTCAGTCAGTGTACAAGCATTTAGTAAGGGCCTCCTATGTGCCAGGCACAGTGATGGGGATACAAAGAAAGGCAAAAGACAGTCCTTGTTCCCAAGGAACTCAGCCTAAGGGAAGAGATAATGTGCAAACAACTGTGTACAAAGAAGTTAGAGACAGAATAAATTAGAGATAATCACCAGAGGGAAGGCACTGACGTGAAGGGGGATCAGGACAGGTTTCTTGTACATGGTGGGACTTGAAGGAAGCCAGGGAAGCCACAAGGCAGAGAGGAGAGAGTTTCAGATGTGGGAGACAGCCAGTGAAAATGCTGAGTAGGGGAATGGGCTGCCTCATGTGAAGAATGGCAAGGGGCCAGTGGTACTGCACTGCAGAGGACATTTGGGGGAGAGGGGACACAGGGGCACATGTCAAGGTAAGGAGTGTGGAAAGGCCCAGGCTATGGAGGGCTTTGAAAGCCCAAGAGACAGCTTCATACTTGATCCTGGAAATAATAGGGAATTACTAGAAGTGACAAGGTCAGATGTGGGCTCTGAGAAGATCCATCTGACAGCTGAGACTGGAGTGGGGACACCTGAGGCAGAGAAACCACCCAGCGGGTTATTACAACAGCCCTGGCCTGAGGCAATAAGGGTCTGGGCCAGAGTACTGGCAATGTCAGAGGAGAGAAGGAGGCCTGTACTAGTGACATTGGGAAGATAGAAATGCCAGGACTTGGCACCTGACTTGGATATGGAGGAGGGGTGAGAAAGAATGAGAAGCTGAGGATGACACAGAGGTTTGGAGCTCAAGTGACTTGGGAGGATTGTGGTGCCTTTGATAATAATAGGGAAGCTAAGAAGAAGGGAGAGCTGGGGCAGGAGGGGGGAAGATAGACAATAAGTTCAGTTTATGGGCATGTTGAATTTTAGGTGTCTATGAAACATTCAGTTGGAAATGTCCAGTGGGTACTTGGAGACAGAGAGGTTAGGGATGGACAAATCAGTCTGAGAATCGTTCGCATATGGCAATGGTTGAAATGATGGCAGCCTATGAGATCACCAAATGTCTAGTATAGAGGGAGAAGAAAAGAGGGCTCCTGGTGGAGCCTTGGGGAATACCCATGGTCAGCAGTGATTTATTCAGGTAAATCCCAGGCCCCAGAGTTTTGGCCAGAAGAGGAAAAGGTTGAGAAAAAAGGGCCTCAGTTCACAGCAGGTGAGGACCAGTTCAAGGAAATGGGGGTGCCTGGCAGGGAGAAGGGTTCTGCCAACCAGGAGAAATGGAGGAAGTGGCCAGGAGACAGAGTCAGACCAGGTCCTGAGGAAATCTCCTTCAGAATCAGAACTGACATGGGCTGCCTTGAGTCAGAATGGGCCCCCTCACATAAGCCAAGGCAGTGTGTGGCAGACAGAATTCTTTTTCCCCACCATATTAGGCTAAATGGCTCTGGAGGTCCCTTCCAGCTCTGGAATCCTAGGAAGACCTCAACAAAATGTTTGTAAAAATGAACAGGGAAGGATGCAGACTACTAATGTTCGTGTTCAAAAAATCAACTTCACAGGATGGTAGAAGCAAGATTAGGGATCGTTTTGACTGAAAAAATATCTGGGAGCACCAGGGATGGCAAGTCCGTTATCAGTCAACAGTGAACTTGGCAGCTGAAAGCTGGCTCAGATCGACACTAAATGAAGAAAGAGAAGCTGAGGACTAGGCCTGGAAGATGCCAGACAGCAGTCTGCTGCGTTCTGCCCTTCTCAGACCCAAGCTCATGGCCCTTTGGGGTTTTGTGATGGAGAGAGAGCAGATAGGGAAAGGTTATGCCCTTCCAGGGTTGAAGCCTACCTAACCTCAAAGTCAGGACTATGCCCCAAAGGGCAGGTAAAGTAGAGAGGAGATTCTTGTGGGCCATTGCAGTCTTGAGGGCCTCCAGAGGCCTAGAGTCCTCTGTAAAATGACAGGCTCAGTGATCCATCCTAGCTGCACAGCCTGTGGCCCTCCTGCTCTAGCCTTGGGCCTGTAAGCTCTGCATAACCCCACATAGCTTCTCCCCGATCCATCCAGCCTATGCCATCGGGCCATGCTTTGGGATCTCCTTTAACTGCGAAGGCAGTGTCCCGCCCCCCCCCCGGGTTGGCCTGTCGGGGGAACAGGCCCACGGACCTGAAGCCTTGGAGGTTCCAGATGCAGGGTCTGCCCCTCCAGACAGCTGCCTCCCTCTGCCCCCTCAGTTTCTGCCCCCTAATAGTCCTATTCTTGCCATGTCTCCCCTGTCCCCAGTTTACTCATCAGAGCCCCAGGACACCTCCTACTCTATCCAATGGTCCAGCAGAATCAGCAGGCCCAGGCCCCAAGCCCAGAGAAAGTCAGCCAGGTTCCCTGACTCCAAATTAATCTTGCCACTGAACCATGGCACACTGCAGCTCAGTTGGATTATATCCTCTGATATAGTCCAAGGATTTGGGGGAAGGAGAACACAGGCCTTGGATTCTGGGTCCAGCTTCCAGTCCTTATAGATGGGGGTGCTCCCGCCGAATGCCCACCCCCTCATACCTGCCCTGCCCCAAGAGGCCTAAGCCTGGGAGTAGCCTCTGACCCTCCACCCATAGGAGAATCTTGGAGCCTTTAGGAATTTCCCCTGGATTGGGCTCAAGTGGAGCATGGGGCCGGGCTGAGGCTCAGAGAGGGTCCGCATTCCTCTCTCCTCTCTGAGTGAGATTCTACTCCCAGCTCTGGACCAGGGTCTCCGGCTCTTCCTCTTCTGGCCTCTGGGAGGCAGCAAACACTCCCTTTAGGGTTATGATTTGTCCCCAGTGGAGTCCTCCTACCCTGAGTCCTTGCCACGGGCTGGCTCTGTGTATCTGTCTGTGAGTGTGCTAGTGGGAGGGTCAAAGCACCTCTGGGTGATGTAGGGGACTCCAGGAGGGGCCCTCTGCCTTCCTTGCTCCTCCCCCACCCTCTCACTACGGGGGGTGGGGACAGAAGGTGGCAGTAAAGCATTCCCTCTCCCCTGGGGCGCACAAACTGGTACAAGCATAAATGCACAGAGCTAGCTTTAGTTGAACAGGTATACATCTACAAGGAATAATTTATGCTTCCCCAGCTGACCCCAGGAGTCCCATTCCCCACCCACGCCCCCAGCGAGGCAGTAGGGACATGGAAGTGTCTGGGAGTGCTACTCAAGGGACTGAGAGAGCCATTGGGCTCCAGAAGTCTTGGGGCAAGGCCCTTAGTGATGAGAGCTCCCTAGGAATCTCCTCCTCACCCCCAGGGAGATGAGGGGGACCCTAGGCATTCTCCTGGAATCCAGGGGGTCCTAGGTATCCCTCAGGTAGAGGGTCTACAGGGACCCTGAGTATTTCCCTCAGGGTTAAAGGGCTTTGGGTGTTTGAGGGGGCCTGGGCATCTTGCAGAGAATTAGGGAGGCCTGGATGTTTCTTCCAAGTTCAGATGGGCCCTTGGCATATATCTCCTAGATTAGCAGGGTTCTGAACATCTCCCCAAGGTTAGGGGATATGACAAGGCCTCAGTATTTCCCCTCAGGTTACTCCTTGAGTCACGAAGGAGCTGTCGTGTTTTCAAGGGCAGGGGAGCCTGGGAGTCTCCTTGGGGGCTAAGGGGTGTGTCCCCAGAGTGAGGGGACTCTGACCATCTTCCTCCAGGTTAGGGGCTCCTGACCGTCTCCCTCCCCAAGCCGCATTAGAGGGCCATGAGTGTCTCCCCAGGGGGACTGGGCCTCAGTCTCCCCATTTGTAAGATGAGGGCTGAACTGAGACTTTTAAGGCCCCCAGTCAGAGGGTGATGTGTGGGAGGAGACCTTGGTCTGATACAGGTTAGGGCATGGGTGCGGGCTTCTATCTGGGTAGGAGGCAGATAATGCTGCTAACAAATAACAATAACAAAAAAATCCCATTTCTCTTGGGTTTTAAGGTTTCCAAAGCACTGCCACCCAACACCCCAGTGAGGTGAACTGTGTCAGTATTAATGACCATCCCCATTTTGATGCATGGGGAAGCTTAGCCTCAGAGAGGAAAGTGACTTGTCCAGGGTCACACAGTTAGAAAGTAGGTCCCAGACATGGGGGGGGGCCTGTGGTGAGCTCTGGAGTCTTGGTGGGGCTGTAGGGGCAGGGGTGGCTGCTCAGCCATAACTGTGGGGACTCTTGGGGTTCATGGGGGCTGAGTCCTGCCTCCCTGACTGTCCCATGAGCTGCCTTAGGCGATGGCTGAGATTTTGCACCTGGCAGGTGCTTAGGACACAGCCCATTCTCATGAGCTGGGCGTGGTGGCGCCGGGCGTGCCTGCGGCCCCTGCCACCACGGCCCCTGCCCCTGCCCCTGCGGCCCTGCAGCTTTCACGCGGCGATGGCGATGATGGTGTGGGTGTCGAGGGCAGTGCCCCACGAGGGGCTCCACGTTGGGCCCTGGCTGGCCCACGAGAGTCACCGGCCCCACGTTCATCACAGCCTGAGATTCAAGGTCTTGGGGGAATAGCCGGTCTGGGGGCTCCCTGCGGAGGAACGGACAGGGAACAGTGAGCCTGAGCCCCCAATCCCCCTCACACTGCCAGACACGAGGGTGACTAGCTGCTGGGGATGCCCTCTGGCCCTAGAGACACTGCCAGGAGAAGACCACAGCCCCCAGGAACCCATTCTGGACAGCAGTCATCAGGGTCACATGGTCCATTAACCCTCATCTACCCTGGGCAAAGGGCAACTCCCAGGCCTCTGTGGGTCACTGCTCCCTGGAATGTGGCCGACAGCAGTAATGACCCCACCCAGTCCTGAGTGCTGGGCAGCTGCCCCTGAGCGGGGGAGAAGCCAAACCCAGCTTCACCTTCCTCATGCCCACCTGCTGCAGCCTCCCTGCACTTTGTCTATGACTCCAGGATTTCACAGGTTCCCTGCTCCCCTGGGCTCAGGGCCCATGATATCACCCCACCCCACCCCCGCCCCTGCTCTGGGCTTATGTCTCAGTCTCAGCAGATCCCTCCTTCTCTAGGCTGTGGGCCTATGACCTTCTCTCCGCAGACTGCCCCCCCTTTTGTGATCTCCATATCAGAGGCAATACTGGTCCATACACAGGAAAGAGAGGCTGCCTTGCAGTCAGAGGACCTGCGATCAAGCCCTAGCTGACCCCTTGCTAGTTTTGTGACCCCACTGCCCCTCTCTGGGCCTTAGTTTCCTCCCCCTGTAAAACAGGGAAACTAATTCTTAGGGCCAGTCCCTTGTAGGGCTATTATGAGAATGGTGCTTTGTAAATCTTAAGGTAGCAGCTCTCCTGCCCCTACCTCTCCCTCAGTCAGAAAGCTTGGGGGAGGGGGGGTACAGGGTGGACTTAGGCCCTTGGCCACAGGGTGAGTCAGGGCTGGAGAGGTCCCATATATCCCCAGATCTCCAGGCTCAGATGGTTTGACCCTGGTTTAGCTGGCAGCAGTTTGGGGGGCTTCCTGGATGGAAGGGTTGCTCTTCTTCAGAAGGAGGGGCAGTTTGCTACCCTAGAAAGGTCTAGAGCAAGTCAGGGAACATGGGTTCCAATCCTGTCTCCGATGTTCACTGTCAGTTAATCTCCCTGGGCCTCTGAGGCCTCTTTTAGATTTAGGTGGCTAGAAGCAGCTAGGCAGGGCAGAACACTGGACCTTCAGTCAGGAAGTGCTGAGTTCAAATCCTGACTCATGCACTTACTAATTATGTGACCCCAGGCAAGTCACTTAACCTCTGTCTGCCTCAGTTTTCCCCTCTGCAAAATGGAATTAACATCGTCTACCTCCCAGGATTGTTGTGAAGCTCAGATGTGGTCCCTTAAAGCTGTATAGCAAGGCTGGCTATTACTATGAATACTCTGATTTCCCTAGGCTCCCTCCTGGTGGTGCTGGCCTGCCCAAAGCCACTTCCCAGTTCCTGGTCCCCAAGCTCCCAATCCCCAAGCTCCCAATCCTAGCGGTCACCTTCTCCCACCTGGGCTAGGCCCAGACGTTATCTGAGAGACCAGGCGACAGCGCCCCCTGGTGGACTGACCAGCCATTAACCCTATGTGTGCTGCGGGAGAGAACCCCATTCCCTGCCCTTACCGGCCCCGCCCTGCTCCGCCCCCAGTCCCCTAAAAGCACTGGATGGGGGATCCGGGGGTCCTCGGATCAGAGCAGGCCTAGCTCTGAGTGAGTGAAGGGGCTCTAAACTAGGTTCTGGGATCTGGACCCCTGGAGGTGATCTGGGACCCTGAGGGAGAAGTGGTGGAACCAAGGGGTGGGGTTCTGGGCTGTGGAATTGGGCTGTTGTTGAAGTCGGGGGGCTGGGGTTGGACAGGGTCAGGAGGGCAGTTTGCATGCGAGAAGGGATGACTGGGCCCGAGGGGGCGGACCCTAGGCCCCGAGGGGGGCCACGTCGCACTCACCTGGGCCGGGACAGCAGCGGGTGAGGTCCCAAGCGCCGGGACAACGTGCCCGGGAGCAGGAGGCTCAGGAGGCTGATGCAACCGAGGGTGACGGGTAGGAGCCAGCCCATGGCAGGCCGGGGCTGCGCGGGACTTCTGCCGGGTTCTGCGGTCCGGGGCTAGGGCTGAAGGGATGAAGGCTGCCATTGAGCCCCTAAGTGCGTCCCTAGGGGCCCCCAGCCCCTTTCACTAGACCTGGAGGTCCCGGGGCTCCTGCCCCCTCGGACCTTCCTACCTCCGGGCCCGGGCCTGCTTCCACCAGATGCCGCCCCCACCCCACTCCGCCCTGGTTCTCAGGACCTCTCCCCCCACGCCCCGCTCTCTGCTTTCCCGCCCCCCACCTGAAAAGGGAGCTGTGGGCCTTGGAAGGGCACTCTGTCAGTCCGCCTGTTTGTTTGCAGGAGGCCCGTCTGTCCTTCTGGGTCTGTCAGTCCCAGGGTGAATGTAGTTGGGTGGGGTGGGGGTGGGGGTGGAGGGGCAAATGGAGTGCTCAGAGATTCAGGGGTCGGGGCCGTCCGGGACAGTCTGTGGGGCCTCTTGGGGGCCTCGGGTGGACGTCGGAGCAGTTGCCGTCAGCCGTCTGGACGCCAGCCTGCTGTCCGCTGCCTGTCAGCTGTCCGCGGTACGGGTTGTCCTGGGCTGGACTGGTGGAGCCGGGCAGAGCAGAACTTCTTCTCAGGTTAAATATTCCCCTTCGGGCCGGGGCGGAGCTGGCCGGCTCTCCACCCCCTTGGCCCTCCCCGCCCCCACAGCTCTCCTGGCCCCAGCGGCTAGGGGCCTGAATTGACTCCCCAACCCCGGCTTGAGCAAGGGGCCCGAGGGTGGGGGAGGGTAACCAGAGCCCGGGTCCCTCTTGGGTTCCCGCCACTGGAAGGGCTATCGGGAAGACTAGCTGGTTGTAGGGAGCCGCGAACACACCAGGCTCTCTCTTGGCATTGGGTAGAAGATGCAGTATGGTGCAAGACAAAAGGGTGGACTTCGAGTTGCCAGATCTGAGCTCACATCTGAACTCCTACACTACTGGAGGCAGCCTTCACACCTTATGTCTCCCCTTTTTGCCTCAGTTTTCCCATCATGATCTCCAAAGGTAACTTTACACTGGAAATCCTATAATTCCCTATGCTCATCCTTCCCCCGAATTTCTCATATAATACCTGTTCCTTCCTCAAGTAGCCTCACTCAAGACCTCAGCTTTAGCCTCCTCCAGGAAGGCTGCCCTGACTGCCCCAACCCACAGAGACCTCACCCTCACTAGGGATTAACTGCATCCTCCTCATCCCATCCAGAACCAGGCTTTTTTCTTGTCATTTGATATAAGTGGTAAACAGGGGGCCAAGTCCCAGGGAGGCTTGTCCTGATTGTTTCCATGTTGCCCAATATCTGGAGCTGAGGGTGGGGGCAAGGTGTTTGGGCTCAGCAGGACCCTTAGCAGAACAAAGGGTTAAGCTAAATCCCTGTTTGGGAGGGAAGGAGTCCGTGTGGCAGATAACAGGCTCAGAGCCCCCAGCTGAGCACCAGGAAGCCCATTCCTTGCTGGGAAGCCCCTGGAGATTGGCCAGTCTCCCATTTAGGGTAATGGGGGGGAGCCACAGGCATGGCTGTGAGGTCTCGTGGCTGGGCCACGCTGTCCCTTGTTCGTGCTTCCGCTGAGGGCTCCCAGCTACCCTGACTAGAAGTCCTAGGGAGTCAGGGGCTCATCCAATTCCAGAGCTGCTGGAGGGGGCTGAGGTTTGAGAACTGGGGGCCAAAGCTAGGGGAGGAGTTGTGCAGTTGGTGAATCAGAATGAAATGGGATTTGAGGCTTGGGGCAGAGAACTTGAAGGATTGGAGATTCAGGGGAGCAGGGCTTGGGGTTTCAGGGAGCCAGGGCTAGGGGATGATTAGACCTAGTGAGCTAGATCTTGGAATTTGGGAGGGGGGCAGGGTTGGGGATTTAGGTTAGGTCTAAGGGGTGAGGGCACTGGAGCTTCAAGAAGCCAAGGCACAAGGTTCTGGTCACTGACATGTTGGACGTGCTCCAACATATGGACCCCTCAGGTGGGCAGAAAGAGGTCCAGCTTGAAACTTGGCTTAAAGTATCTGTGTCCCAGAATGAGGACACTGCCTAGTGTCCCTGCTGCGGTCAGAGCTTCCCACTGTGGTCACCCTACAAGGGCCAAGGCACACCTAACCCTCCATCCTTCCTTCCCTTCCTCTCTCTCTCCCTCCCTCCTCCTGCCTGAGGAACGTGCCCTGAGACACGAAGGGGAGGCTCCCAGCCGGGCACTGCCCCACTCTGCCTCCACACGCCCAGCCCTGCTCCCAAAGCAACAGGGGGAAGGGGGAGGAGAGGCTGAGCCCGAGGTGCAGTTCTAGGCTAGGGAGGTGTGGGCACGGTTAGGTCACCCATGGGCCCAGGTTCCCACCATATTCCCATTTACCTCTAGTGCTCAGGAGTGCACTTTATCTCCGGGAGTCCTCTGCTGTCTTCCTGACTGTCAGTCTTAAGCTGTTGGCTCCCAGAGGCTGTAGTCTAACAGTCAGCCAGTCAGTCAACACCGATGGAGAGTCAACCCCCCCCCAACCTCAGAACACCCAAAGAGAGGGGAGGGCAGAGAGAAGAAGACATGGGGGTCCTGCCTACCCTTGGGGGGCAGAGGGAGCAGCCTTAGGAGAGCCCCCATGAGGAAAGGAGATAGAGGCCAAGGAAAGCTCTGACTCTAAGCAGGAAACAGCCCCTGGGGATCCCACAGGTCAGAGGGGGAGCCCTGACCTGGGGAGGAGACAGTGCCTGTTTGAGTGAGGAAATGGGGCCCTGGGGAAGTCCCCATGAGTAGAGAAAGCAAGGAGAACCCCTAATCTGACAGACTGAGGGGTACCACAGACTTGCCCTCAGGGATTGCCCAGGTTTGAAGGGGCAGATTGCATCCTTCAAGTGGTTACAAATAGACCCTAGAAATCCAAGGTACTGGACTGGAGAGCTCCAGGATAGCTGTGACCCTTCCAGAGTATCCTCAGAAATCACACAAAGGAGGCCACTGCATACCGGCCTGCCCATCCCCCCCACAGCAGAGGCAAGACAGATGCTGCCAGGCCTTGCGCCTCACCATGGAAGCAGAAGGTCTGACCTTGAGATCATCCTGAGTGCTTCTTGTCCACACCTTTCCATGGGTCCTCCAGAGAAGACCCAACCCAAGCCAGCCAACCTTTATCAAGAATAATCATGACATTTTTAAAGTAGGCAGCTAGGTGACACAGTGGAGTGCTGGACTGTCAGGAAGACCTGAGTTCCAATCTTGCTACAGACTCTGTGTGTGTGTGTGTGTGTGTGTGTGTGTGTGTATGTGAGAGAGAGAGAGAGAGAGAGAGAGAGAGAGAGACAGAGACAGAGACAGAGACAGAGACAGACAGAGAGAAGAAGAAAGAGAAGAAGAAGAAGAAGAAGAAGAAGAAGAAGAAGAAGAAGAAGAAGAAGAAGAAGAAGAAGAGAAGAGGAGGAGGAGAGGAGGAGGAGGAGGAGGAGGAGAAGGGAGAGAGAGAGTTTGAGAAAGTTTGAAAGTGCTTTGCAAACTAGCATTTGTTTAGCACTTTACATATGTTACCTCATTTGAATCTCACAAATACTCCATGAGGTAGGTGCTATTAGTATACCCATTTAACAGATATGGAAACTGAGGCAGGCAAGTTAAGTGACTTGCCCAGGTTGTAAGGTCTAAGGCCAGATATGAACTCAGGCAAGTCACTTGACATCTCTTCTCACTCAGTCTCCTCATCTGTACAATGGGTGTAATAAGAGCACCTACCCCCTCCCATAAAAGTCTTCTTGCTGCTTCTCTCATACAAGTCTGCTTCCTTACATCCAGCAGGCATGTGGGGTCAATCATCCAGCCAGCCAGCCTTCGTTTGCTATAATACGTGGTCACTGAGCGCCTGCTAGGTGTAAGACCTGCTCTGGAGGCCAAGGAGATAAAGATCACCTTGGTAATGGCCTTGTATTTGAGGAGCTCACCACAAGGAAATGAATGGTTGTGGCACAAGGCGGCCAGTCCTAAACAATGGGAGGAAGGAAGAAGGGCAGTCCTCAGCCTGGGATGGAGGGAGGCTCCATCGTCACCATCTTCATCATTGCCTTTGTCATATCAGTAGCACTACGTACTGACATATACTATATCTGTGTTACTATATATTATTACTTACTATATGCTAAATATATTACTGCATATTATATTACTATATGCTAACTAGTTACTGTATTACTATCTATTAACTAGCTACTTACTATATACTAAGTATATTACTAGATACTATATTCTAACTAGTTACTGTATATTATATATTATATACTATATATAGTATATTACTGTATACTATATACTAACAGTATAACAGTAACACTCAACATGGTTAATATGGAAATATATTTTACATGACTTCACATGTATAATAGACATCGAGTTGCTTGCCTTCTGAAAGGTGGGAAAGGGAGAGAAAGAGAAACTGGAACTCAAAAATTTTTTAAATGAACGTTAAAAATATTTATACATAATTGGGAAATATTTGACAAAATAAATAACAATTTCTTTTTAATTTTTTTTTTTGGCAACTGGGGTTAAATGACTTGCCCAGGATCACACAGCTAGTAAGTGTCAAGTGTTTGGTCTGAGGCTGGATTTGAACTCGGGTCCTCCTGACTTCAGGGCCAATGCTCTATCCACTGCATCACCTAGCTGCCCCAATAAAAATATTTTTAAAAATTAACAAAAATAATAACACTCAAACCATCCCCAAATAAGTGAAGAGCATGCAGCCTGTGAGGCGCCGTTGGACCACAGCCAGTTGGCTTTGTTCTAGGCAATCTATGGAGTTAGACAGGGGGCGTCACAGTGGATAGATCACTGGGCCTGGAATCAGGGAGACCCGAGGCCTAATCTGGCCTCAGGTACTTATTAGCTGTGTGACCTTGGGCGAGTCACTTAACCCCCGTCTGCCTCAATATGCTCTATTGTAAAGTAGGGATCATAGCAGCATCTAGCTCACAGAGTTGTTGTGAGGATCACACAAGACAACAGTTCTCTTCAAGAACAAAGAACAAACAACAGTGACAACATTTGGAAAGTATTCTGTGACTATTAAAGAGCTACATCAATGCTAGCTGTGACGGGGAGAAGGGAGCATCCTGAAATCCAGAACAGCGCTTCTCAAGTTCCCAACTGCCGTCCAGCCCACCCTCTCTTCCTACCTGATTCTGGGCCCACCTCACCGTCCAGCTGTGTCGGCTTTATTTGGCCTCACGGCTTGGGATAGAGCGAAGACCCGGGTTCGAGGAGCGACAGAAAATTGATGCTTGCTAGTACAAGCACTTATTACTCTGCAGTGCAGCAAACAAGCCCCCTCCCCAAAAAAGCCAGGGAAGCACACCCTCTGTGGTGACCCAGACAGGGATTCAGACCCACACGCCAAGGGCCAGGGTCACGCATGTGAGGGAGGGAGAATGCTCAGAGTGGGGTGTGAGCAAGAAGATCTTCTGCCTTAAAGATGAGCCTGGCTGAGAATGAGTACCAGGAGTTATATATATGCATATATGGCCGGAGTCATTTCTCATCAGACCCAGACATGGAGGGAAAATTCTCCAAGTCAACTCATTTATCAATACCAGCCCCAGGTGGAGGAGTTTCCTACTCAGGA